TTACATTGTATAAATAATTGTTTGTATAACAAATCAAAATGAAAACAGTACGAGATAGCTGAATAAAGCTTGAAATTTATTTAAAAATTAGAAACAGTTCATGGAAACATTCTGTTTGTCTTCTTGGAGTGTCCACCAGTAATCCGCCAAAATATTTGGTGACCATCTTCTCTTATATATTCTTTTCATGGCAGCGATATCTTGGTGCAAATGCTCACCATGTTTGTCACTCACATCTCCAAGATTAGATGGCAAGGAATCGAAATAGAAACGAAGGAAATGTAATTTCCTGTAAGATAGGTCTTGATTTACCCTACTATCCCAGAGACAGAAGAACCACCAATATTTTGTGTAACCAGTCGACACTCCTAATAGAAGTCCCAGAACTTTTAGATCACCACAAATTTTACACTTGTGATTCGAATGGCCAGTATACTTCAGAAGTAGCCTCCTGTTGTCGTAGGTTTCCTTTAACTGAATGGAATGAGCCACTGATATCGAAGATTTCTCATTTCCGTTATGAAAGAAAACAGCTTTGATACTACTCTTTGTAAAGAGGTATCCCTGTGCAATTGCACACAGACCTATGTGGCCCACAGGGGAGGTGAAGGTAGGGCTCCACCTATTCGTCGCCCTCGTTACAAGGAGGCGGTTGTATAGCGAGCACAATTCTCCGGTCGCCTTAACCCGCAAGAAAGATCCTGGTACTCAGTTGTAAAGGAAGCTGAGTGGACGTCACAGCCGCCCTGAATGTAAATCAGATAAAAATCACAACTTCGATCGCCAGAATTCTGTCCTTCAGGTCAAGAAGCCAGTACCCTACCACTGAGCCATCACGGCCCCTGACTACTCTTTGAGGAACCTAACCTAAGCGCCATTCTTCCGTATTGTAAATCTTCCCAAATTTCTTAAGCTGCTCATTTGCCATAACCAGTGGCGAAGCGTGAGGTTAATTTTTGGATAAACTGAGTCACAAACATTGTAAACACAGATACTTAATTAGTGAAATATCGAATATTACGAAGCTAGAGATCAAAAAACTGCAAATATAATAATATTAATAATAATAAAAATATATGAATTCAGTCATGTAACAGTACTGAAATCAAGAATAAGTCCTTGCGTACTTCCAATCCTTTTGTGAAACATTGAATTTTGGTCTGGGTTTGGCTATTTTTTTCTTTCCATTGCTCTTTTTGTTCAAAAGATCACACCTCGACTGAATTACTCAACATAAAGTTAACTGAATCAAATCTATACTCACAGATTCTCCCATTTCGTCACGTGGCTCTAATCAGAAACCTTAACTATTCGATATATTTCAATTATAAAATAAAACAAAACTACCACATTGTACACTGTGATACTGTAATTGTTCTAACAGCTCTTGTAACCTAGTAAGTACGAACACGCTATTCAAACAACTTACGAAATTTCTGTTTGATCTTTCCACAACACAATACGACTACATTCGCTTTCTACGCTCACACAATCGCCGCCATGCCAACCAACGAATGATTATAATCAATATTTTCTAAATTTTCAGGTTTTATTAAAATGTACCACAAAGTTAAATAATGTGGGAGAAAAAGTGAACATGATCAATATTGTACTCAATGAATTAGGGACAGAGGAATTCAAATACTAAAATTTAAAACCAAATGAATGTTTTACTCGGGATTTCTGAAGTTGCTCATTGACCTCTAGCGGACATTTCCGGAAGTTCCACACCAGCTGATGGCAAAGAGAGCGCCTGCCGGTAAGAGTTTCAATTACTTTCACAATAGTTAGGCCGGCGGTTCACAATAGTAACTTTTACGCGGGACACCGCACCAGCCTACTCAATGCGCATACGCTCTCACTTCCCCTTGGTCTAGTGACATCGTAAGGCGTTTAGCCGACGGGACAGCCTCGCCGAGGCCTCGTCCGACTCTGCGGGTGCGAGAAGACCCATCGCATGGAATGTGCAGAACAGCAAAAATAACTTGGAGCGCGTATGTACGGTATTAATTGGCTTAAATGCGACATTATAAATGCAGGCTTTGTTTTTTAGTGAGATTTGATCGCTATCTTCAAAATTCTTTGGTATAGCTTAGCTTACTTTGTCTCACCCTGACGCTTCGCCCCTGGTCATTACAATATACCAAACTCTGTCACTGAGAAAAAAGTGGAAATATCACCCTGTTGTTTACGGAATGTAAAATTAGTTTTTGATAGTAAGAGGTTGTCTTGAAGACGAGACCTGAGTAATTCTACTTGCCTCCTTGAAAAATATAGATATCTTACAAGATCGTTCAGTTCTGCCAGGGACAATGGCTGTGGTAGCCGTGCTGCAGAAGGCGTGTAATCTTCATAATCTGTTTATTTTCAGTACCATCGTCTGTTCCATCTTCCAGTGTCCATTCCGTTGGTGGTTTTGGAAGTGGGGAAGAATTGAAATGCGGAACTGGGCGCATTGCAGTTTCCAAATTTGGATAATCGTGTTTTGATTTACTTCAGATTTCAGTTACTTTCGTTAAGCAAAAGTAGCAATGTAACGAGATCTTTAAGTTCCCCCACAACTGTGGTACAGCAAAAGGCATAAATGGCCGAGATCCATGCAACCAGCCTCTTAAATATCGGAAGCAACTGTTTTGTGGTGCCCCACAGTTACCGTCATCTACCTTTAATTCAAAATACAACCGCGTACGCATTTTTGACGATGAGAGGTCTTTGAGTCTTAAACACGCCACACACACAACAGAAAATATTTGGTGAATTAACTCATTACCTAGATATCGCCAAGTATAAGAAACAGGCGAACATGCGAAAACAATATTCTTCACATTACTGGATTTACACACTTCGAGAATTTATTCGGCGTGATCTCTATCGATTGACTGATGCAAATGCAAGTTCCCTTTACCTACCCCAAATGGCTCTCCCCCCCTTCCCTCTCTACTCACACCATTTAGTAAGAATATTCAGAAAATAACAGAATGTGACAAGCGCTGCGACACTGTAGATAATACAGCCGAGTGTAGATACAATTGCGTTTTCAGAAGAAAGTTTAGGCGTTGGCGAACAATGGTTTTCACCAATGACATCAGGGCACTGAACTACTTAACAATCACATTTTTATTCTGCGGCAAATTCCATTGTCACTGTGTTACTGAAGGAGAATATTTAAGTTTGAGCAGAAAGTAGGTAAAAGCGTATGCGTGTAAACATTAGTAACGGGAATGAAAATACAATTAAAGAGCTGGGGGACGTTACGCAAGCAGTTGTCACGTTTGAGTGGATATTTGTTACAAGTGGGATAATTTTATAACTGTGTTAATGAGAGGACGGAAATTGAGTTGATGGGTGCGATTCAAAGCCGAAACATGGAAATTGTATGAACTATTGTTTTGTGCACATGTTTTTTTGCAGGTTTCCCTATTTGTTTTCAATTATATAAACTCACCTGCAGAAACAAGAAAATAATGCATTGTGAAATAAGTCTAGTTGAACGTGTCATGTTTGACAAAAGTTAAGATTCTAAGTTAGGAGTGGAAATTGTGTGTATTCCTTTCCAGGATTTCTATTTTTCTGTTTTCAATTGTATAAACTTACCTCAAAAAACAAGAAAACAATGTTGTAAAATTATTCCAGAATTGCGTAATATATTACGCAAATAAATTTCTCTCTCCGAGGCCCTGTTGTATTCCATCCTGGAGAGATTAACGTGTGTAATTATGTGGATCAGCCTTTTGGCTGCATCCCTTGGTTAAGACAAGGTTGTTACAGGGGAAAGGATATTATTATTACAATTATTTTTATAGAGTGATGAGGGGTGAAACTATTACGAAGAAGGTAGGTGGTGTTAGGGGGGGATATTGGGAGACGTTGGTAGGCTTTTGGAACTATCCCAGCATTCGTCTTGAGCCAGAGGGAATCCACGAAAACCCTGGTCGGGATGGCCCGGCCCAGGGATCGAACCCGGACCTCCCGACTGCCAATTCCGCGCGCTACGCACAGAGCCACATTGCTCGGTACAATATATAATATGCGTGTAATATGTCATTCTACAGGTGAGATAGCTTCATGATTGTTAAGCCTCAGATTTTCTTAAGTCTTCTGCGATCAGATTCAAAATTTCATCAAAACGGGTCACTAACCATTCTAGTAAATATAGAAGCGTTTCTCATCCTTTGTGGCATCAAAGTATGCAATTTTTCCATTCTGGGTCAAATGGACCCTTTTCCTTTGTTTTGTCATCATATTTGTCCCGGCGCGGACTATAGACTATAAATTTCCTGCCCAGCTGAGCAGTCCATGGTATTAGCTATTAATCTCCCAAGTTTGAGCGCTTCATTGTGTTTGCAATGGATTGTATGGGCCAGAATATTAATTTCGCGCCCTACTTTAAAAAAAAAAAGTTTTGGTGCCCGTTTCAAGCGATTTTCTTAGAGTGCAGCTGCCAAGCCGCGGATAATCTGCGGCCAGTTGCTCCATCCTGCCCGCCGCCGCCGGGAACCCTGTCCCCTCGGGCTCGAAGGGGCTCCTCACGCCCGTGAACGCTGACCCGGTCAGTTTTTGCTGAGGGGCCTGTGAGTTAGGATGTCTTGGCGTACGACGCACTGGACTCAAACATGGTGCAAAATCTCCATGATCTGTCAGTCACTAAAGTGGACTAGCACAGCCGTAAGCAGCCACTAGCATAGCCGTAAAGCGAGATACTCAGAAATTACTAAATTTCACTATATTTTTGGTAAATGGTTCTACCCCTCGACTGCAAGTGTGCCGCTAGTGCAGTGAACAGCTAAGAGTTTCTGTGTTTAAAAGCAGAGAATTTAAATTAATTCTCCACATGTTACCTCAAACTTTTGGGAGGATTTTTTTAAAATTCTTTGTAATGTCTAGGTAGAAATCATGACTATGGACCAGCAGTTTGATTTTGTGGCGAAGCCAATGATATGCTGCTTCTGTCAATAAATGCTGAAAATAGTGTTCCTGTGCCTTGTATCCCTTTCTCAGGAATGGTTTTGAAAATCGTTTAGTTCTCTCTACTTAACACGTTAACAATTTGATGGAAAATCATACAGGTAAAAGCACCATACCGCATGTGCTCAGAAAAGTACTACCAGTATTGGTGTTTTCTATGTCGTGCATAAATATTATTTTAGTGTATCTTTTCCTCTGCTAAATTTTGGTGGCCAAAGGTCAGATAGTGACACAGAGGCTAGTCCTTGAGCATGGCTCCTACTGTCACCTCTACATCACTTTACATTAATTGTTTATATCTGTATTTTGTAATTTCTAGTACTTTTTTCCACATGGATATTTAAAATTTACTTTTCATCTACATAGACCATTTCTAAAACCTAATTATTATTTACATGTATACTTAGCCTAATTTCTTATTCTACATACTATATACTACCACCACCACCTTTATAATACCTTTTATAATTTTTATCTACGTTATTACTACAGTTCTCTCTACATACATTTTTACATTCACCTCTTAACCACCTCGGTTAAGCTAGTTCCGTGCCTTCAAAATTGTGCCTTGTAAATTCCCCCAAAATTTCACTCTCATCCACAGCACCGGGAATGTCGTGACTATAATTTTGGGGGCGAATTTCTTATTCACCTTCTCTTCCACGTTGTCCAATTTTTTGACTCCTTCCTTTGTAATTTCCATGGTTTCCTTATTGGCTCTCTTGATCATAAGTATTCTGCTTTTTGCGTTACACCTTGGCATATTTATTCTGGCCTTTTGCCCTTTTATTCTTTTTTGTAACTCGTCAATTATGCCCTGATGGTTCAGGGCATAATTGCATTCATTGGTTCTTACATTCTGATTTGGACGACGAAAGTCTTTCAGGGTATCATTTAATCATAATTTTAAAAATTGTTTTTTTGACACAAGGATGAATGGGCCCACAACTGATTATTTTAATGGAACAACTGCCTGAATTTCAATGAGTTCTCTTCATAAAACTGACCAAATATTTTTAAATAAATAGAAAATCAAGTTTCTTATTAACATTCTGCTTTAAAAGTCCATTCGTTTTCTAAGGATGCAAAGAATTAACAAATGGTATCTACATCATTAATTTTCCTTTCTTGTTTTACATCAGTTATTTTCCAATCTTGCCCAAATACTCCATATACATTTCATTTAGAGGTGCTTATAGAATTAAAATTGAACGAAAATCATACTAATTTACATTATCTGCTAATCCAGCAGTATTGAAAATAGATCATATAAATCATGAATAGCATTATTTTAATTTTTGTGCTACAATCACTGAAGGCTGAGAAATATAAATCTGCTGGTTAATTTTTCTGAACTTCACAAGTAAATGAGATTTGGGGGAAAAACAAGGTCAGCTGATTTGCATAATATTAGATATTCCTTACATCTTTAAATACATTCTTCACACACATCAATCCATGATATTAAATAGTGAATCAACATTTCATTATTTAAGATAATGCTACAAAATTATGACATTTTCAACATTAAATTGGGGAAATTATTGAACATTTAATTTTGGAATTCTGCATAGTTATAAGGATAAAACAAGCAATAATTAATCTGCATGACTCAAAGCTGGTTGAAAAATTTTAATTGATAAAATAACTTTCTATAGAATTTCAAAAACAAAACAATTCTGCTCAGGAGAGGAGACTATGTATCAGATAGATGAATCAGAGGTTCGTGCTATTCTGGTCAGTATTAATTACACCAACGAACCTCTTCTATCAATTGTTCTCTCCTTGGGCACTATGGAAATGTTTTATCATGCATATAACATTTTTGTCTATTTATACCAATAAATTGAAGCACTGAAGAAACCAGACAAAAAATCTAGTCTTTTTGTATAAAATACTACTGTAAAAGTTGCAAACAACCTCTCGATTTTCTTCGTCATTGTCTGGATGCTGCTCTAACCTGAAAAAAATAAAGAAATGCAAATAATTGAAATATACACTATATCCTCGAAGTTTCTTAAAGTTATTACACAAAAACTACAAATTATATAGTGATCGAATTGGGAACTATTAACACTGGCAGTATAATTCAAACGCTGAAAAATGAACTTTTCATTAATATGACAAGCTTACAATAGCTGTTCCATGTACAGACAAATATAATAGATAAATGTTACCGGTATGTATGGATCCTGTAATACAAGTAGTTCCAAAAGTATTATATTATTCTAATTACTTTTCAGTCGTTTTCACAATCGTGGGAGGTTTTAAAATTTGTCTCCAAAACCTCGCGTTACCCTTCAAGGTCAGTTCTGGGACGCCAACCGTCGTAATGGGGACACCAACGTCTGCTCCGTTCCACGAAGCGCTGTCTCAAACGATTTTGTCAGTCTTCAAGGCAAATAATACTTCTGTGACGGGGCAAAAAATAATGACGTCTATGAATAATTAACGGATTAATTGCGGTCGTCCGTTATTAATTAACGGATAACGAACGAGAGATTAAGGTTTCCAGTCAATGGTCTTCTGCTCTCGTTTGTACGATTTTTCAGTCTACACGTATTCCGGAACACGTTGCGAAAGCGAACTCTCATAGAATCGCCACCGAAATCGCGATTACAGGGCGGCGGAGGGGCCTGCAATCAGTGTGTGTGAGGGAAGGGGTGGGTATGGGGGAAGATTGAAATGGCAGTCGCGATGCCTCAGACATATTCCAGGTCATGCATTTAGCACGTTGGGCAGGTCTGGGCGAAGTTGCGTCTCTGATCGTGAAATAATGGAAATCATCTCCGTCAACTTAATGTATTTATTTAGAGCCTGCTTACAACTTTGTGGAGGGGGGGTAGAAAACCTATCCACACATTGTCATCCACAACACATCCAAACGACTATCTGCCCACAAACACGCGACTTTCCACGCCATGATTCACAGACTTCCCTGATCACAAGACAATTTCCAAAAATAAACACACACACTGAAATACATATAGCTACCGTAAAGAGATACAGTACCACTATCGTTGACAACATACTTCGACCCAAATTAAATTAGAAAAAAACAACGTAAACAAGCCTCGCCCCCACTCACCCAGACCATAAAAATGTATATTTCGTCCTTTGAAAACAGATCACAAAGGGTAGCTCATATTCTTCACAAATCAATTTTCACGCTTTCTTTTCCAAACACGAATTCTTTAAAACACCTAACACCTACTCTCGCCTCGCAACACCACCCCACACATGGCGAAGTCAGGAGTTAATGAACTTCAATGCCACGATCGCAAAGCAAAATACAGACCGACAGAAGCTTCGATGCCAGAGTTAAAGAACATTTACATGCATGGAAACAATAGAAACAATTGCGTGAGGTTTAGACTACAGAGGTCACTGGCGTCCATGCCAAAGTATTTATTCTTTTAAATTTAACAGAACAATAAAGGGGAATGTTGCAAGCAATTTACTCGCTGATTAAAAGCGTGTACATTATCTACAAAAGGGCTTCATTCCGCATAAAAGATACTAGTGCACAACAAAAGGCTAAGACAAAACTAACAAAAATATTTATAATAAACGTAGAGATGGTTGTAAAGCGGTCAAGAAACACACACACACAATTTCCCTTATCTCTCAAATAGAATTATGTATTCCGCTTTCTCTCAAAAAAGAAATAAGCTTTGAGAGCGCGGAATCGTCATCGTCGAGCACCTCCCGTAAAGAGTTGCCCAGGCCATGCTTTCGTCCACTGCCATCGAATTTCGTACAATGCAGCCGGAAGTGTTTCACAGCAAGAGCCCTACTGCACGAATTGCAGATTGGGGGATATTTACCTGGAAGAAGAAAACCATGAGAAAAGTGGCAGAGTCCGATTCGAAGACGGGTTAAAATGACTTACTCGCGCCTAGCTGGTCGTAACGAGGAACGCAGGGTTTAACAGAATACTTAAATCTTTAGAGTCCCGACACATTAGCACCATAAGACGCCAATCCCGCCTTTTTAAGAATGGCTCCCCAGCCTCAGATAGAAGGCACTCGATTCGGCTGGTGCTATACGCACCTTTTTAAAAGGCGTATACCAGCATTATATCTGCTATTGATGGGTTGGAGAGCGAAGGAAGCTGCAGATCTGTAATCCAAAACTGAGCGTAGTGTTCTATATAACCGCAATAGGGTAATGCGGTCGGCTCCCCATGACGTACTCATCAACATACGAAGAAGATTAAGAGGGGGGACACATCTGGTTTGTAGTATGCGGATGAGTGCGTCGCGTGAGGGATCTGTCAAACGTGAATCCCAGGAACCTGGTAGATTCAGCGAATAGAAGCTAATTTCCTCCCAAGTAAAGGACTGGATTGCTATGAAAGTGGTATATCCTACAGAAATGCACACCAGTAGATTTAGGAGAGAAGATGAACACTGTTGACCATTCAATTGGTGCTTAACAAGTTTCACGAAGGTTCCTCTGGATCACACTGATGCTGCTAGATGAACAAAATATAGCAAAATCATCTACAAACAGCGATGCCCTTACAGGTTCTCGCACAGTCAACGCTATACCATTTACGCAGTGACACTCAGAACCCATCAGTGAGAGATACCATTTTTTAGAAGGCGACTGCTAGAAAGCCTGTCACCAACGCGAACACGGAAGGACCTGTTCGAGAAGAAGTTTTGGATGAATAAGGGGAGCTTCCCCTAAATCCCCAGGAGTGCAGGGTTTGCAGAATACCGTACCTCCAAGTAGTGTCGTAGGCCTTTTCTATGTCAAATAATATGACCACAAGATGTTGCCTCAAGACGAATGATGTCGAGATTGCTGTTGCCCACGCAACGAGGTGCTCCAAGGTTGACCGGTTTCTTCTAAACCCGCTTTGGATTGGGGTCAACAGATTTCGACACTCCAAGGTCCAGACTGTTATGCGTTCCAGCACTTTTCACACACAGCTTATGAGAGAAATGGGTCGATAAGCTGATGGCATTGATCGATCTTTCCCTCCTTTTGGAACTGGAGTGATGATGCCTTCTCGCCATAGAAAAGGGATTGAGTGCTCTTCTCCGATAAGATTGTAGAGCCGAAGGAGAAATTCCATTGCCGTTTCAGGAAGATGTAGCATTAGGTTATGGATTTCATCTGCACCTGGGACAGATCTTTTTGCAAGCACCAAATCAGATCGCATTTTACACATGGAGACTGAAGTATTGTAATCCTCCTCAGCAGGGAAAAATCCAAAGCAAGATATTCTATTCTTTATTGTGTAAAAAAGTCTGGAGCATAGTTCGCCGAACTCGACATGTGTTCATAATGAGCGGCAAGTTGCTCTACAATTGCGTCTTGAGATGTGATCATCTCACCATTCCTAAGAAGACCCGGCACTGAATTTGAGGAGGGATATCCCCTAATTTGATGCACCTTCCTTCATATCAGACATGGTGGCGCATGGCAATTGAGGGAGGACACTATGCTCTCGACGAGGAGTTTTTGCTTTTTAGAATGGTTTTTCACGCCTTCGCTCTGCACCTCTTGTAGTCAATTAATTATCGACGGTTGGATAGTGCTCCAGGCGCGCCAATGCCATTTTTCGGGTGCTGACAGCCCTTGAGCAGCCTAGCTTCCACCACCATGGTGTCGCAATTTTCCGTTAGACTTGGAAATTGCGACGTCCGCGGCTTGTAGTATAGCACTATTAAAATGTGCTGCCATTTCGTCCATACGGTTAAAGACGCCCTCTATCAGACTGACATTAACTTGAAATTTCAACCAGTCAGCACGTTGTAGGCACGATTGAGGGAATCGAGCTAAACCATGAACAAACCCATTAATATACATGATAGTGGGATAATGGTCGCTCTCATACATCTAGAGGTCAACAGACCATTGATGAACGGTTGCAAGTGATGGGCTGTAGAAAGCCAGATCGATACACGTGCTTGAGTTAGTGGGAACGGCAAAATTAGTTGGTTCACCTGAGTTCAGAATTATCAAGTTCAAGGTGTCTATCGCCGATACCAATATGTTGCCTCGCGGACAAGTACAGGATGAACCAAAAGAGAACCGTGGACATTTACATTACCCGACTATCAAGAACGGAGAGGGCAGTTGTGGGTCAAGCCCAAAAGTTCATCGGAGGATACACTCTGCCCTGGAGGGATATAGATGTTACCGACAATGAACGTGAGGGATGGGAGGTGCACCTGCAGATACACTGTTTGGAGCTTGGGCTGAACTGGAGAGAGTAGCGAGTCGTAGATTAAGGGTAGATTAAGGCATCTCCACCATGTGCGTGGAGGCCGTTAACATCAACCCTGTATGGGGTAAAACCGCGAAGGGTAGGGGCCGTGGTGAAACAAGATGCGTCTCCTGTTAACAGAATATTAAAGGCGTATAGCGGAACAAGTTTCAACTGGTCCCGTCGCGAGGAGAAACATTCATATTCCAAGATAGGAGAGCCACGATAGTATTATATCATTTCCCTTTTCTTCTTTCGGCATTGTGTCCCGCCCGGATGGGCGTTTCCTGCGAGGTTGAATCCTCCTGGGAACTGCCAGGGGACTTGCTCGGAGCGAGTAATGGAATAGTTGATCTAATGTAGACACTGACTAGTATCGAGAAATTTGTTTTATGTACAAGATTTCGTGGTCCGAGCCGGCTGGACTTTTTTAGCAGGTTTCTTGTATTTTGTAGGTAAGATCATTCTCCTGCCCTACAGGGGTGCGGTATCCACAGGGAGTTCCACCGGGGACACCTAGCAGGCGAAGTTCACGACTTGGGAGGGCTCTCTCACAGTTTGGCAGCTCGCTACTACCATCAGGGCCTTTGTTTACACAGCGCTAGTGAAGAAACGAGAAAGATCAACAGGGTTCCTTGCCTGGAACCAACGTTTGGCCTCAGCAAAGGACCTCTTCTCAGCAACTCTGATCTTCTTCCAAAAATTATACATGCCTTTTACGGGCGATTTCTTAGAGC